AGGGGAGGGAAGTGGAGAGGGGAAGAAGGGAGAGGGGAGAGGTCTTCCATCTGCTGGTTCACTCTCCACATGGTGGCAATGGCTGGAGCTTAGTTAATCTGGAGCCAGGAGCTTCTTCTGGGTCTCCCACATGGGCCCAAGGGCCCAAGGACTTGGCCATCTTCTATTGCTTTTTCAGGCTGTAGCAGAGAGCTAGATTGGAAGTGGAACAGCCAGGACATGAACTGGCGCCCATATGGGATGCCAGCACTGCAGAAAGTGACTGTACCTGCTATGCCATAGCACTGGTCCCAAGCCTGTATTCTAATACAAAAGTGGCCCCATCACTTAGTATTAATTGCCTGGTTGAACAATTATGGAAGATATTAGACACAGAAAGACAGGAAGAAAATCAAGTCAGCTCTATGAAAGGAGATGCTGTTATTATAGAAGGGCTTTTACTAATGCTGCATTGAAAAGCCTTGAGTATCTGTTTTCTTGTTCTGTTATTAAAAACAATATGCTCATGAGACTTGGTCCATTAGTTTTGGATTTTGTTTCACACTGTTCTGTAGAGTAAGATGTTCTAATTATCTTGTGTAATAATTTAGCCCTTAGGTGCTTTTTCCTTTTGATTTGGTATGCTCTGATAATGATTTATAAATGCTCAAATGTAATTATTAAAATTTTCATGTACTTAAAATTAATTGAAAATATTGAAGTGATACCTAGAAAACTTCTGATTTAAATATAAAAGTTTAAAAGAAAGTGTTGCAATTAAGATTTATGCATAACCCTAAAGCTGTAGGCATAGAAGCCTTTGGAGAAGGAATTGTAGTTTATTAAGAAAGAATAAAATACTTGGCAACATACATCACGCCATTTTGGAATTATATGTGAAAATGGTTGCAGTAAAATAAAAATTACTGAAGTTGATGATATTATGAAAGAAACTGTTATGTTAAAATTCAGAAAAGTCAAAGCTTCATTTTTATTTCTCAAATGGAGAAGAAAAGCACTTCCTGACTTTTACCACCACAACCTGCTACCAGAATGTCAGATGTGACATCCCTATAAAATGAGTGAGATGTTAAAGAAAATCATTTCTAACTCTGTCTAGATTATAAATTCTCTCAGGCGCTGATGGAAGTTATCATTGCTCTTTCCAGAAAATGTCACACTGGATCCATGGATTCTAGGTTATAAGAGAAGTTGCTTGTACCACAGGAAATTGTCTTGTGAGATAACTGACTTAGGCAACTTATTTTTGAAGAGTATTCTCTGTGGAAACCATGGGAGAGATAAGCTCTTCATGTCTAGCGGGGTATGTCAGCCAGCCATCAAGTTAATTGAATGATGTGGGGAATTCTTATTTACAGAGATACAGGGAAGGCTACAGAGACTGGTAACAATGAAGCTCCAGTGGCTAGGAATGACTGGATTCTGTCTCAGGCGGAGGGGCAGGAGGCAGATCTGGAGAGGTGTGTGGGGAGCAACTGGGAGCAACTCGGACTAGACTAAGTTACTGGAATTAAGACTTATTCTATGCATCTGCTTTCCCACAATATGGCGCTGAGAGGGGGAAACAGCTTCTACGCAGCTGCCTCCAGTTCAACCAATAAACTGTGGGACCTGCTCCTGATTGGAGGAGAGCAGCGTACTCGGCGTGTGGGTAGCAGAGTTGGGATTGGTGGAAGAGGACTATAAAGGAGGAGAGAGACGGCATGCACCAGGAACATCTAAGGGGAACATCTAAGGGAACACCTTTGCAGCCACCGAGAGAGCCGGCCGGCGGTGTGCCGCTCCCCTGCGGAAGTGGGGAATGTGGCCAGGGGGAACTGCCCTTCCACGGAGGTGGAAGGGACAGTAGCCAACCCGGGAAGAACCAGCAGCAAACCCGGGGAGGGCCGAGCAGACGAAAGAACAGCGCAGGGTCCTGTGTCGTTCCTCCACGAAGAGGGGGAGCGACATAATGGTGCCGTGACTCGGATGTGAAGCCTAGGCAGGGTTTAGTGTCGTTCCTCCACGAAGAGGGGGAGCGACAGAGGTGGTGTTGTGGGAACCAGTTGATAGCTTTTAGATTTTTCACTGACTTTCTCCTCACCATGGGCATTTGGAAAAAGATCCGCATGTATTCAACAGAAAAATTTCACCTTGCGAGATAGAGTACTCCTCCCCCCCCACAAAAATATAAAGAAAACCATTAGATGGGATAGACAACTTAGAAACAGGAAGACTTAAATAAATAGTTCTGTGATTGGTCATATTATCCCGGTGGTAAGAGAGGCTGTTGAATCATAAGAACTGGTTGCCATCCAAGTGAGTGAGTGGAGAATAAGAAAGAGGTCTTCAAAACCCAAACTGTTAACTAATTTAAAAAACAAGCACGTAGAAAAACAGAACATCTTCAGGATCAAAATGTCTTCAGCATCAGAAGCTATGGATCAATCCACCTGATCAAGACTCCTAAATATGTATAATTACATGCATTAAAAGTTTGGGCACACAAAAGGTAGGTAGGACATGAAGAGCAAGTTTATTTTGGAAGATGTGTCACTCTTTATTAGATGTGCTAAAAAAAGCAATTTTAGGGTTGGAAATCACAAGGCAATATACTTGATACGTAAATCAAAATTTGATTTTTCTCTCCCCTATACCCTGTAAAAGTCCATAGAGCATACAGGAAGTACCATGGCTAGGAAAATTCTGCCTACACTGGTAGATCATGAAACTCAGAAAAAGAGGAATTTCTACCAATTGATTGCAAGTGAGAAGACCAAGCATGTTATATGAAACATAGAGGGGACACACATTTAAAAAGAACCATGAATCGAAAGGAACAACATCTGCTGTTTTGCACACTTTTAAACACCTCCTTCCCACTCAGCTGTGCAGCACCTGAGAGAGAAGCAATTTGGCTAACCGTTGACCAAACCTTGGTTAATTCTAGCTTTACGGAAGGATCTTCTCCTTTTAAAATTTTTTGTTACATTTTTGTATCTATTGTTTGCAGTTTGGATCTCAGTAGACCAGATCCTATAGTTCCTCTTAAGCTTTAAAATGTCTGTTTTTGTATGTCCTTGAAGAAAAATGTATTGATTTTCAACATTGGCACTCCGAGGGGAAAGTTATAACAATCTCCAAGTTTTGAGATTGATTACAGCAAGAATAGACTATTGGGTGGGTGTCATGTTTAATCCTTTAGGGATTTATTGATCTTCAACTCTGTGTTTACAATGAAATAGTAAAAGACAACAATGAAATAAATGACCCATTTCAGGTTCTAGAATGAGAGTTAAGTTTGCCACTTGAGTCTTAAAGAGCCAATGTCATGCAAGATTCACTTGAACCTAAGTCCCATATTGAAGAGGTTTTAATTCTGTGTGTGTAAGGAGAAGCAAGTACTGTTAATTATCGTAAGATTTCCAACAGTTTTGCAAATGACTACAAGCCAGTTTTCTCAATTATTATTTTTGCAACTTTCCTTCTCTGTCTTTCATGGCTTTGATCTATCACAAATTCCTACAAGTGAAAATAGTCCAAGTGCTGCCCATCTAACCCACATCCACCCACATCCACCCAACCTGTCAACCTCTCAAATCGCAGTCATTTCTTCTGGAGACAGAAATATTCTCTTTTTTTTTAAAGATTTATTTATTTATTTGAAAGAGTTACACAGAGGGAGGAGAGTCAGAGAGAGAGGCCATGGATGCGCCAATCAGGAGCCAGGAGCTTCTTCCGGGTCTCCAACGCAGGTGCAGTGGCCCAAGGACATGGGCCATCTTCTACTGATTTCCCAGGCCACAGCAGAGAGCTGAATCAGAAGTGGAGCAGCTGGGTCTTGAACTGGTGCCCATATGGGATGCCAGTGCTTCGGGCCAGGGCATTAACCTGCTGAGCCGTAGCGCTGGCTCCAGGAATATTCTTCACAGTCACTCATCTTTGCCTTATTTTTGGGGAACCTAGAGAGACATTTTGAGATTTATTTCTTTGAAAGGCCAAGTTGCAGAGGTGGAAGGGGAGAGAGAGAAAGATGTCTTCCATCCAATGGTTTAGTCTCCAGATGGCCACAATGGTTGGAGCTGGGCTGATCCGAAGCCAGGAACCTGGAGATTCTTCAAGGTCTTTCATGCAGGTTCAGGGGCCCAAGGACCTGGGCCAACTTCTGCTGTTTTCCCAGCCCACAGCAGAGAGCTAGATCAGAAGTGGAGCAGCTGGGACTTGAACCGGTGCCCAGGTGGAATGCCAGCACTGCAGGCAGTGCTTCACTCGCTATGCCACAATGCCGGCCCCTAGAGAGATATTTTGAAAATATGCTTCTGAACTTTTTTGCCCTGCTTCAAATCAAAAGAAAAACTCAGCAATGCAGAAGCTGTGTAGTTCCTTGCAGCTACACCAGAAAGATACACGTGTGAAGGCTAGTGTGACTTGGTTCACACACAATCAAGTATGTACCATGTGGAGAGAACACAGGCAGGAATGGATGGTAGACCCTGCTCCCTGTCTCTGGCATGAATTCATGATGTAAGCTCAGGAAATTCTTCTTAAGTTTCGACTTCTTAATTTAATAAAGTGAAAGGACTGGATGCAATAATTTCTAAAGTCCGTTTTATTCAATCTAATGAAATGTGCTGCTATTTCCAGGGAGAACAGCCCTGAGCAGGACAGCTCTCAGTGCAGCTGATGTGTGGGTAATATGTCCTCAAAGAGAGTAGGAGACAGGAGCTGAAACCAACATGGACGTGGTGCGCCCTTTTTCGCACAGCCTGTCCTGGCTTGGCACTGTTTCTCTTGCTCTGTGAGGGGCAAGGATATTTCTCCCAACCCCTCCGTATAAGACTTTATCTCATACAATTTTAACAGTTGGCAGATTATGAGTGGTAGCCATGTTTTACCTTTCTAGTATGTTCAGCCCACAGTTGTAGCTTAGAATATCTGGTCTTGGTCATGTTGCTGGTAGAAGAACGATTAAGCATCATCATCTCAGGGCGCTGCTAATTGCTGACATTTTCACTGTACAGAGAAAGGAGAGCAACAGGGCACGTGGGACAGCAGGGGCCGTCTTCAGCCATCTTGAGAACTTTCTACGGTGACAGTCCCTGTGAGAGTCCCGGCTGCGACCATGGTGAGTGGGATGGAGTCCCTTTGACACTGCAGCTGCCCTGTGGGCAAGTAGAATTGTGTCAGATCCTTGGGAAGACAGAATATGTGACATTTCTAAGAGGGGCCACTTTGCTTCTGCGCATCAGTTTCTAGGTATCTGTTGCCTGATGAAAACAAAGTCTTAAATCCTTGTGTGGCAGGGCTATGATCACCAGGTGGTCAGGAACACCTCCTAAGCCTTGCCAAAAAAGTGAGACACTTAAGCTGAGAGAGACCGTTTGGATGGTCAGACTGTTTCCTTCATTTTCATGTCCTATGCAAGTTTGTAGGTTTTTTATTTTTTTTAATCAATTGGAAATGGTAGAGTGTCAGAGAGAGAGAGAGAACGAACTATCATTCTCTGATTCATTCCTTGAATTCCCCCAATAGCTGAGTTTGGGTCAGGACAAAGCCAGGAGCCAAAACTAGATCCA